TCAGATCACATATGGGGATTTGGAGACTCAGATAGTTTCCTTCCCATCTATGTGGTTAGCTTATTTTGGGAAGTGCTATACTAAATGTATTCCTGTGAACATAAATCTAAAAAAAACCCACAAAAAACAATAAATGAAAGCTTTCCCTTTTTCTTACTAATTCACATAATTATTGAAGATTGGTTAACATACTAAAATTTAATGTCAAGTAAAGAAGTTCATTTTCTTTCTTCTAATATGCAGATGATTTTGTGCTTAGAAACTATTTCATTCAATTGCATATGATTTATATTATAGTTCTACTAGATACCATGTCATTGAAGTGAAGGAGATAGGATTTTTCTAGAGAATGTATTTTCCATTCCTAGAATAACAGAGCTACTCGTTAGATAAAACAACAGATCAACAGCTATTTTTGATGCATGCAGAATTTCTCAGAAATATTTTTATGATTTCATTTCTAACATTGTATATACTATTATAGGTATCTAGAGAAAATAAAGGAAAAATGTGTTTTGGGAAAGGAAAGAAAGGAGACTTGGTGCAAAGAAAATGCATGTATCAAATGTCCATGAATCATTTATGAAAGGCATGATTTTGTTCTTAACAAATGTTATAAATTTTTGTTTGGAAAATTCAATTGCCATTGTATATTACACTGCCCATTCAGTTCAACTATGTTGAGTTCATCAAATATCTTTTTTGACAAGCTTTTAAAAAGCATATTTTCTACTTGTTCTCTTCTTGTCCTTATCAACCATTCACTTTCCAACCCTCTTTCATTTGTTTTATTCTCAGGAAGTCCTACTAAAATTGCTCATTTTCAGCCTCTCAAATTCCATAATAGTTCAACAAAATGGTCTATTTCAATATTATCACTTTTAATATCTAACAAGGTTTTCCTTTTATTTTATCTTTTCCTATTTTATTTTACTTTTTTGCTTTTGTCTTAATAGTTACATTCCTCCCACACAGGAATATACTGTCCTCAGTTTCCTTTGATTCAGCTTGCCCACTGTAATAAATGTAATGTAGCATTTCCAACAACATATACAATACTCTCCAATTCACAGTCCCCCAGGGAATCACATTTCCACAAAGATAGTGACAATATTCTCATCACTGTGGCACATTGTTTTTTTTTTTTTGACACAACTTCTACCTTTCTTTTTAACCTGATCATTCCCTCTGCTGCCCAGGGTAACCATGTTCATGAGCTAGACATGGCTATTTGTGTGACTTGACCTTTGCTCATAGGGACTTCCCAGCCTGGAATATCTTCTGGGCACTTTATTGACCCAGGGGATGTTTACCACCCTTGTAAAACACAAAAGGCTAACAATTACCTAGATGTCTTCCTCCAAGCTGCTTCTCTGAGCATCTATATACTGTCTTCTTAGTTATAGCACATATTGCTGGACTTTATTCTTTAATGATTTTTGCCTCTTATGTTGTGAATTCTTCACAGGCAGAGATTTTTGTCTCACTTCCTTTTTAGCCCCAAAGGTCTAGCTCAAGTGAATCTTGTGGAATAAAAATATTAGTTCTTTCATAGTTTTGCAGAGGCTTTTGTAAAGAAGCTTTATTTGTTACTGTATGCTGGCTTACTCAGTGAGGAACAGTTTTTCATGAATTAATTGGAACCTTTCTTGAAATTATTCATATATTGATTTTGGATATCCTTCAGGGACTTTTTTTTCTGTGAAATATCACAGACATTCAGAAAAGTACAGACAATAATATGATTTATTCAGCAACCATCTTCATCAAATGGTAAGGTTATGCCAAAATTGATTAGAATCAAATTTTTGTCTTGTTATTTCACTGGGAATCTATTACCTAAATTTTCAACCTGCCTTTGTCAATGAAAAGTTTGGGGCTGTGCCTTCACAAATAATTGTCTTTTCCTTATGAGTAGTGACAATTATGCATGGCCATTTTCAAAGTTCATGGAATGCTTTAGGAGAAGATAGATATTCTACAAGAATTATAATGGAAATTGATTTGCTTATTCAAATATGTAACACCTCATACATGACAAACCATATAGTAAGCACTTGTAACATGAAGATAAAAGGAAATGACACAGTACCTGTCCTATAGGGACCATGGATCCTGTTTGAGGAGATGTGACAAACACAAAACAAAAATCAAGTGAAAAATATACTTAGGCATGAATATATTGGCAAGTTCAAAAGAGTTCTATAAAAATAGAGTGTCAAAGATAGAAAATGGGATTAAAATTCTTATATTGGATAGCAGGATAGTGAACCCCTGCTCTAATGAGAAAACATTTAAATTGAGAATTAAAGATGGAGAAGCAATTAACTAATATTTACAAAGAAAAGATAATGGCCAGTGTAAAGGCTCTGAGTCAGGTCTGCCCTAGTGTGATCTGTACAAGAATGGTCAGGGCTTAAGAGGGCAACTCCTGGCTCCTAAAAGGCAGAACCATCAAGGGTGCTAACCTGATGAGTTTCTTTGTTTACTTTTTTACATACATGTGTACCACAAATCAGAATATAGTAACATATTAGTGGTGCAATTCTACTGTATTCTAAATCAACATGAGAAAACAAAACATAACCAGAAAATACTACAGACAGACAAATGAGTGTCACAAGACCTACACATAGCATAAATTCATATGATGTCATCTCTAACTACTTCCCCTTTCTTTTCTTGCCGAAAGCCAAATCAAAATCAAAGATTGAACTTTGAAACAGACACAGATTGTCTTTGAAATAGACAAACTTTGAAACAAACCCCCTGGTAGTGAGATTTCTCCTTTCTCAGGCTCTGACAGCTATAGGATATTCATGATCAGTGATTGCCTTGTTGATATTCCTAGTTCTGAACCTGGATGGTGGGAGACTATCCCTTCCAATGATATGTTTTTAGCTGTATGTATGATGTCAGTAAACTTTGGAATAATTTCTTTCTTTAAGTTAATGTTGTGTATCTATATTTTGCATCTTTAGATGTTTCTCTTATTCAGATCTTCAAGGCTAATCTTATTTCTTTCTCCACTTCTTAGCTGACACCTCAAGGTGGCCACTAGGTATTGACAATGCCCTCTCACCCTTTGCTTTCCATTTGGCACATAGTGAATGTTATTCACATCCTTAGTATCAGCACAGCCACACAATTTTGATCGCCTCTCCCCTTTAACTTTACTACTCAGACTAAAGAAAATAATTCTGCTGATTATTTTAGGGTGAAAACTCCCTTAACATTTTAATTTCTTTTCTCTGGAACATTTAAAATTAATATCTGTAATGACTAAAGTTTTATTCAATTGTTTACTGAATAAACACACTAGCTTGATTGATTTGGCATAAAAAGATAAAAATACCCCAACTTTGAACTTCATGTTCATAATTTCTTTCTAATCTCATATATAATTTATGTCCAGAACTAGCAACATAATTTGTGAGGTCCAATTCAAAATAAAAACATGAGAGGTTTGTTAAAAAATAAAAAGAATTTGAAGAGAGCAAAAGCAGGCCATTAAACCAAACCTGGTACTCTTTTGGACAGGGTTTCTATAGGATAGCACACATTGTGTGCCCAGAAAACTGACTCTGTGCAGGTGTTTGGGGTAGGTGGTAGCTGAGAATAACTTTACAAATATGTGTTTTAAAGGGATTCTATAATAAAATTTCACAAATACAGATTTAGGCTTGAAATAGTATATGAAATAAAGTTAAATAAACAGATTTATTGGCATACTAGGTACTTTTGGCAGATGGTATTGTGATGGTTAGAAATATGTAGTTAATAAGAAGCTACATTTAGTTTCGTGTTTATCCGTGACAGTGTTGTAATGCTTTGGTTTAGCCTGAGGACTGAGGAGACAGATTGCTGGGTTCTAAAACCTGGCTCTCTCTACTCTACTAAGCTGTGGGTCATTGGGCACATTTGTTAACGTTTGGGTTCATCGTTGTACACATGGGTAGAGATGATTACCAAGAATCTGTCACATAGCTTTGTCATGCAGATTGTCATATTTCTAGTCCTATGAAGAATATGTGGTAGGTAGTCAGCAAAGTATTTTAAAAATTGATTTTAGTTTTTAAATTTTTGTTTAACTCAACATCACAGATAAAATTTGGTCTCTAAATGGCTATAGATTTCAGTACAATATGAAAAATATTTCCTAATATTGTTTGCGTGAAATTACAAGTTCAACAGAAGATGAGACATTTGGTTTCTGATGGTAGAAATGAACGATGTAGCTTTCCTTCATACAAGAAAATTGAAAGGGTTTTTGTTTTAAATTCTCTCTTTGAACCTTTTCCCTTTGTTACTTGGCTTTATTTAAAATCAAAGATCTAAATCATCTGATTAATTGAGCAATTCAGTTAATTTTGTTACAGTTAATAAGTTACATAATTTTAGAATTGAATGCAATTCAATATAGCATTTCAGGCAGTCTTAAATACATTTAATGGTAAACTTGTTTGGAAGTAATCCATTGTGATTAATGAAAGTTATTTGCTTTTATTTTATATTACTGAATAATACAGCTTTTTATATTAATATGAATTATGTTTGTTATGATTAACAGTTTGTTTTTGTGCTTTATGGAAAAAATATAATGATTTATGAAGTGTAAATCTTACCATCATGAAATGACAGTTGATATATTTAAAGATCAAATTTAGAAATATGTCAAATAATAGCATTTTTTATTGTCAGTACCACTAGTATATTTATTTTAACTAATTTACTTCAGTGGTTGCTAAGAAGCTCTTCATACGGAGCAATATAATTTTAAAAAGGAAAGTTCTAGTTAGGTATATTTTCTCAGTAAGAATGTCAGATTACTTCTAGGTATAGCTTTTTATTGGTTGTGAAAATTGAAGAGAAATTTAAAAGTAGTTATTCTTAAATTTATCACCTGTCTTTATAACCATATCATGCTGTACTTGACTCCTTCTCTCTGCTATTGTTGTCACTATATAAAATCTGTATTCAATCTCTTTTTCCTATATTAGACAGTATTACTGAAGTCTTCACTAATATCTACGTGACCAGTTTTGGCCCTGTCTCAGATACAGATATGGTGAGTTTTTTTTTTTTATTAAATAGTATTTTTTTCTTTACATGGTGGGTAGTGCCGGGTAATTTAGGATAGAAAGTGTTTTATTATTATATAATTATATATTTGTCCCAAGTCCATGTAGTTTGTCCCAAAACACAGAGAGATAAGGATATTAATTGTTGGTACTATGGAGCACAGTATCAGCTTGAATGTTCAGATTAGCGCTCTCTCTCTCTCTCTCTCTCTCTCTCTCTCTCTCTCTCTCTATATATATATATATATATATAATTTTCAAAGTTTGTCCACCTAGATACTGTGTGGTAAACAATTACTTTTAAAAAAATCATATTACTGAGAATAGTTTTCTACTATGAAGGCAAGTGCTTGCAGTTTTGTGAGTCTGTACAACTTCACAGAAAATTGCTTCTTAGAGGATGTGATCATGGTCAGTGATATACAAGAAAAACTTCCAACGGGCACTGAGCTAGGTGAGTGTCTGTCATACAATCTACATACATAGTAGGCACATGTAAATCAATCTAGAAGAAACTAGAAGTTGCTATTCTTGGAGTCTATGTTACTGGCCTTTACTTATTTTTCTTTATAATAAAATTGATAGGAGGGGGGACATTGGTCTAGAGTGTTAGAAACTGGTGGACTAGGGATCACTCAAGATAACTTACCAATTATGGATGAAATTTCAATAACCAGTTTGCCATTTCTACTGTTACCTATAGTGCTATTTAATAGAATTTTTGTTGAAATAATATTTTGTTCGTTGGTACCTTGTTGTTAGATCGTGCTACATCCTGTGGCTGACACCTGCTTGCCTTTGCATTCCCCTGATGTACCTGTCTCTTGTTCTGTGCTTCCTCCCTGGCAAGCTTGTGGCTCATAAATTCATTCACACCTCTGGGATCCTTCACTGTGGAACCCAGTGCTTCTTTAGGGACCATTTTCCTTATGATCCAGGGAATGAGAATGAAAGGAGATGCCCTTGTCATTTTTTAACCCAGCCATCACCCACTGTGTCATTTCTCCCTTCTCTCTGATAACTGAGGGGGAAAGTTGACAAGTTTGAGTATTTTCCATCTAGATAAAGAAAAAAAAGTGGAAGATTTTCCTTTTTGTTTTCTTTTGTGCAGATACTCATAAATATTATTAGTCAATTTATCAGAAATTCCTGCCTTTCCATTAGAGAGCAGAAAAGCCACTTTTATCATTAAAAAATTTGCTTCTTCCATCAGAATCACTCACTATCTGATGTCACAATTCTTTTCTTAAATGGAGCTTTGTGGCTGAAATGTGAGGTGCTATTGGTAGATATTGGTGATCCTCACTTTTGAGGAGGTGGAGGATAACAAACACTGTCAGGTATTTAAAATTGTTCCAAATTCAGAATGTGAAAATTTAAGCTCCTCCACACACCCTCTTACCACAATTCTGGGTCTTAGGCACCCTCTGAAACACCAGGGAAAAAAATCTAAACCAACAAAACCCTGTTCAACATGACCTTCCCCTCTCTCTTGCCCTATTTTACATTTTGACTTGAGAATTTTTTCCCTTTTTTTTAAAAAAAAAAAAATTCATGCTTGTCAAGTGCTCTGCTACTAAGCTACACATCTGGCCCCTGACCTGAAATATTAATCTGCACTTGTCCATAGGTCAGTTTAAGTGGATAGGACCTTGGAATGATGACAAAGACATATTAAGCAACCACATGTATTCCAAATTTTATTTGTTGGCTATAAATTAATCTTATAAATGCTTCCAAGTATTAAAGATAGATACAGTGAGAATAAACAGCTAATCTCCAGGTAGAAGCAAGTGTGAAGATTCAAAGTTTTATCAAACGCTACATTGAAAAATTATCAGAATATTATATAAATATGACACTTATGTGGTTAATTTTGGTGTCTCATTGTTAGCTAAAACAGAAAGGCAGATGATAAAATATCATAAAATACCAGTTAAGTTTACAATGTTGTAGATTTTTGTGTGTGTTGTGAATATTACTGGTAACTGTTACTGCATTGATTATTTTTTATTCACAAAGTGAATAATTTTACCTAAAATATAAACAAATAAACATATACACATCTAACAAGACATGTTTGGTATTTAAGGATTTTAGAAAAATTCAGATCACATATTTTTGGCAAAAGGAATAGAAATATTTTTCCCTATTAGTGATAATGCATTAGACTAATCCTCTACCTTTCTTTGTTTTGATCTTATTTTGGAACCACTTTTATATATATATATATATATATATATATATATATATATATATATATATAAAGAATTTCAGTATGCTCACTCTCCTAATTATATATTAATTAAGTTGAGTGGAATGGCAGTTGATAACATTAAAATAAAACAATTATTTTGATTTTTTTTAGTTTTCTTTGTATATCTTAGAATACATATTTTGGAGCGCAAGCAGTATGTGTATGTGTGTGTGTGTACCTATATAAAGAAATATTCTTCAAAATGAAATACATATTCAAAATCAACCTAGTTCTTAAAAGGTTTGAAGGCCCTAGACATTTCCCCTAATGATACATTTCCCTTTCTTTGTGATACAAGAGTTGTATCTGCTGTGAAACACTCCTGTAAAATTTCTTTGGTCATGTCAGATTTCCTACTTTGTTTCCATCTTTGTTCACCTTGTTTTCTCTGTTTTACCAATAATTGTTTTGGAGCAAGATGCTCTCAAAAGCACAAATGGGTATGGACTGTATCATTAGGACCCATGTAGAGGATAGAATCTACAACAGGAATTGGAACAGAGAAAATCCAAAATAAAGAATCATTAACTAGTAACAGATGGTTAAATGTGAACAGATTAAAAGGAGACTCAATAAAAGAAGAAATAACCAGGTGTGGTGGCATATTCACTTAATCCCAGTAATTAGTGTCACTGAGGGAGGAGAATTGCAAGGTTCCAGCCCACCCTGGGCAATTTAGTGAGACCACATCTCAAAATAAATTTAAAAAGTGTTGGGAATGTAACTCAGTGATAAAGTGCCCCTGAGTTCAATCCCTATAACCACAAAAGTAAAAATAAATGAATAAGAAGCAATATAGAATTACAAAATACATAAGCAGCATCCACCTCTGGGTTGCAGCATCATGAATCAGGTTTGAACAAGGTTCTTGGGAGAGGGCAGTTTCCCCCAAGGCCAGTGAATTTGGTCCAGAAGGTACCACAGTAACAGGAATGTGCAGCTGCTGTTGGTGAAGAGTGTGAGCATACCTGTTGAATCTGGTCTCTAGGAATACCCTTGCCTAGTGACTAAAACTCAAAGCATGCCAATTCTTTGCAATTGTGCAAATAGAGTGGACCTGACCCAAGAAGAGAACTAGAAAGAGAAGCACCCTTCCCTTGATATGATGATGGAATAACCCTTCAGCAACCTTCTGTTGACAAAGCCAGACATTGCATCTGCTGGCAAGGGAGTAATGTTGACAGATTCAACTCCTGTATCACAAAGAAAGGTAAAGGAGGGTGGATTTGGAGTTGTGAGGCAATGCAGGATCATTACTATATGTAATTATGTGTGATGTAGGGAGGATGCAGAGTGAGGATCAGGAGATAATTTGGTTATTTAATAGCTTCTATTTGATATTGTCTAAATCTAGAGAAGAAAGTTGAAACTGGGGAAAATGAATGAGGAAAAACATATTTACACAAGGAACACACATACATACAGGCTTGCACTCACATACTTGCAATGTAAGTCTACTAAGGAAGATGGAGCTTGATTTAAACATTTTACAAAGAGAAATGATTTTCATTATGACCAAAATAATTGCTTTTAATCTTGATTATACTTTTTCAGGAAAGTAAGATAAATAATAAGGAAAAGTTTGAATTGGTTCGGTATACACTGTTGCCTGTGACAATCTAAATAGAAATATGATCCTGATGGGAAGTGAAATCACACCTGTATTATTACTTACAAGTGAGAGAGAATATGGAGATATCTAACTAATAATGTCTTATAGAAGCAAGTTGTTAATGAGAAAAAAAAAAGGATACATTTAAGCTCACTTCTAATTGCTTAGTTGATACATTCTTATTTCTGTGCAGTGTACTCTCACTTCTGTGCACTTTTATTTCTGTTCAGTAGCAAAATCTACACCCCTAACTTCTCCTGTTCAGGTCAGTGATGCAAATTTGTTGTGGCATTAGCCTGAGAGGAAAAAGCAGCATAGCAAAAAGAATTAAGAAACAAAGGAACACACACGCACACACACATACACACACACACACGGATATTTCAGAATCATTAAGGAGTGTAATTGTCCAAAGAAAGTTGTAGATCTAAAGTATAATTAAAGATTCTAATTACAGTGTCTGCAATTAAGTTAAAAATCTTTTATTTTAACATTTTAAAAATTCATGAGTAAGAAGGTAATTAAATGTTGGAATGCACTAGTAGCTGACAACTGACAAAGTTTATAGTAGGCGTCTGCATTATAGCAATTTCTAACTAACTCCTTTTTTTTGTTTTTTTGCCTCTTCTGGTTTTTATATAGGATGTACTTTCCTATATTGGGGATTATTTTTACTGTATGTGCATATTCTTCAGGAGTAATTGGTACAGCAAGCAATTATTATACCTCAGCCCAAATCGTTGACTGTTGCTAAGTGTTAGGGTTAGAGCATGAACAGTGGAAACTGCAAAGAAATATTGAAACTGCTGATCCAGGGTTTATTTTTAAGCTCTTAAGAAACAGGCAGTCAAGTAAGTGTGTCTTTGGTTTATTGATTATATTGATTCACTAGGTTAATACTTTTCTTCCTCTGTAAACATAGAATTATCTCTTAGCATGCTCAGAAACCATTGGGATGTTGCATAGTTCAGTAGTTAATATCATAGAGAGTTGGAGAATTATTAGATGTTAATATCTGGTTGAAAATTGACACTGGATTCATCTGTTACACTTTATCAGAGATTGTCATTTGTAAATGTCATCACTTAATGAAACATGCTACAAACATGGCCAACACT